AACATCCACAATGTTCAGGGAAAGTTACAAATGCATAATCACAGCAAAACAGGCTGAGGAGTGAGAGTCAGCGTATGACATTATGCGGACTTAAGGGAAATTGCCCACAAGCCCCTAAAATAATTCCACAAAGACGCACGGAGACTGCGCATCTCCGCTGCAATATTCAGATGCCTTATGCTTTGGAGTAATGAAGCGAATATTTTAACACAGCTGCTCAGGTGTCGGGAGGACTCAACATCCTTTACTGCTTTAAAATCCAAGTCTATTAAGATCGAATTCTAGTTATATAGAAGTGCCAAATAAAGTCTACAGTTGTCTTGAACGCAGTCAATGTTTCGATGACACGCTCGGAAGGTTCTTCCATAATCACGACTCATTTAATGGTACATATAGTCGTCTTGAAAATCTTATTCACGCCGTAAGTGTGAAGATCAAGAGAATGTAATACAGAAATTGCACAGTGACTTTGAACTCTTTCTATTAGTATGTTTCGCTTAAGACCTCATAGGACGCTAACAATGAAAAAAGCTATGATTATGCAGACTAGGAAGGAGCTGTCATTGTAGTGTAAAGGCACTTAAACTTAGTCAATTAATAGTATTATGCGACACATTTCGGTAGGCCATGATTTTTGCCTGCTTTTGTTTCTTGCAGGTGGAACACCTAATATAGTCGGCTGGATGGGATTCCATCAAGAAAGTTAAAGTATGCCCCACTGCGAGATTACCATTGATAAATGTCCTTTTTTGCAAACTCGTTAAAAAAGACCCAACCGGGAAATGATAGGTACGGAATATAAGCAAGATTGTACTAATACGGGCAGCAACTACTGCAGTAAAGGAGTATTTCCATAAATAATTTTAAAATTGAAACTGATCCTTAGTCGAGTGAAACGCAGGTAGTCTAATAGGAAAACTTAGGATAGATGGGTGCTTTCCATATGCATTTCAAAATTATAGAGCGCGATCAAAATTAGTGTCCATCGAAACCCGAAATATGCTTAAGTAATGAATTCTCACATTCGTCATGTCAATACCAAATTTCAGACTAATGAAAAAAGTGATTAGTAGCCCTAAAGTTTACACTTGCACTACAAACGACAAGTAGCCATGTCGTGAAAAATGAGGCCTTATGCTGGTTCTGTGTTTCCAAGTGTCATGGCAAATTTGGAAGTTCTGTCATTTTTATTTTAAACTAGGAACGTGCTCTAGAAGAATGCTTCATTTGCGAAGCTCACTAAATTATTCCAACGTTTATGCTGACCGAGGGCAGGCGAACCCTTATGGATTTTTTAAAATAGTAATGAAATTAGAGAGCGCTCCAAACCTGTTTGAGAAAAATTGACATGGAACGTAGGAACATTCGGACGCAAAAGCATTTGTTTAACGACGGCCAGCTGACAATAACACAGTGATCTAATAGATGACGCCAAATATGAAGGAAGTAGGAAAACATACGATAATGAATGTTGAAGGGAGCGTTGCGAAGCTTAATCTTACGTTTCCAAGAGGTTTTGATTGTGACTACCCACTTAACGTGATAAAGAGATGGACTGTCGACAGACGCGTGACTCGCCAACGTTAGCTTCCCACTATGGTGCCAACATATGTATAGGTAAATATAAAGACAATTTCAAACTGGTTAAACTGATTTTTACATTCGGGGGTTGTGTGTAAAGAACTGTTTGAGAACGCTTGACTTGACATTACGCTGTCCAAAACATTTAGGAAACACCAATTGTCCCAAATATGAACGCGCAAAACGGGCTGTGAACTGGAACTTTAGCTCAAATAGACTATGTTTGCTCTGTAGAACGGGTAGGTGTGTAACGCTGCGGGTGGCTGGTGAAAACCATGCTTGGTAACAAACAAGTATCAGGTTAGAACTATTCCAAGAAACAGGGTAAGCCGATGAACCGTTCAGATTACCGATGCAAGCTTTTGCCATCGAACACCGGTTTTATTTATTGCAATAATCTATAAATCAGTTTCAAGTTCCAACAAGGGGTTTGATTTAGTATTTGCATTTTTAAAAAATAGAAGGATAGATAGAATGCTATATTGCATGTTTAAGTTTACCAGTACAACGGGTTAGGATTGCAAAAAAGCAAACGTATGACTACTGTTAGCAAAATAATATAAAATATCTGGCTTTTCGTAATAATTAAAGAAACGGAAATCGTTAGATATGTGAAGACACGGCAGTTCTATAGTTTCCTCGAAATGGGAAAGTCAATAAAACAACTATACGCGTTCAGCAGAGCATGGAAAAATTAGGCAACGCTTTTAAACGAACCACTTTTATAAATGGCAAACAGTTTGGAAGCAGTCAACAATATAGCTTAGAGGACCGCTTGTCAGCAAAAATAATTCCTAGTCAGAGTGAAAGGACTTCAAGTGGATTTACTGCATCACAAAGAAAAAGCATAAAAAACTGTCTGTGACCACCAGGGATAGAGAAAATGCCAAATAAAGTTCCTACATAAATTCAAAGCCGCGTGTACATTACTTTGGGAACGCAGATCGTGACTTAATTTGCAGCCAAAATGAATATTTGTCCATTTACCTAATCACCTCGACAGATTCAGTCAGTCATGCACAGACAGTTTCTCGATTTCCATTAGCTTCTTAATTTTGCAAGCATTCAATCTCGAGTAGATTATGCTAAAAGCCGCATGTGCTGTCTTTATTAGCACATTTTATTAATTAGTCTAATCGTAGACTTTTGCGGTCATAGGTAGTCAACAAACTTGTAAACACTGGAGAAGTAGTCTCCTAAAACTTTGAATTATTTAAAATGTCTGTAAGACCAAATGTCAATATTCGTTAATGTATTCCACAGGTTTTAGAAAAGGGTCATAGAGTTGTATAATTGAGCAAAATGTACCCACTAGCAATTAATCTTTTCAGACGAGCAGTCAGTGTGCAGCACACCATCGCAGGATTAATATATTAATACAATGCCTCTTCATTTGTGCCGGGGGGCGTTTTTAGTCCTCAAAAACATCCATGCGGTGCCATTCGTGCGGTGAAGTAGGAATTCTCAGATTTCATTAACTGAACCGGATATGGTTGTACTGACGGAAGAAAGATTATGATACGCACGTCTGTTTTTTCAAACAAACAATGCCTGTTATCCAAACTTAGGAAGTTCTGTGCAGCGAAGTGTGATCGAGAAGTTCAACTTCCTTTCCAAGAAGACCTTACTGACGAAGATTTTATCATTTTAAAATTAATTTTTAGCTAGCTGATTTTACCTGTTAATTAATTCAGCGATGAATGGAGACAAGTTTCTATTCAAGCCTTGCTACCGGATGAGGTCCAAAAATATTTAAGCTTAAATGTTGCGCAGAAGACGGTTATTGAGAAGCAAAACTCCCACACTTAGGTTCTCAGAAAAAGATCCACAAAGGTTACATGGCGGCAAAATTATAACCGTTGCCCTACCGACGTGAACAGAAAATAATATATTTGTATAGGAATATTTATTGGTAGAAAGTAAGGCAATCTAATGACTGATGAAGTGTCCTCAAGAGGAACATCCATATCGAAAGCGTCCTTGTTAGGTTACTCAAAACGTGCACGAGATAGATGCTATTTAATTCCGATGATGTTTTTGCCAGTCATTAAAAGAAACAAAGGTCAACGCATATAACTAGAGTCCAAGTTATCAGCACCAGACTATCTCCAAAAAATTTTGCCTATGTCCTGAAATAGAAATATTGTTTCAAAACGTAACACTATTCCTTTTTGATAGGAAATAGTAATTCTTTAAGCCTCAATGTTCACGAACGAGTACAGTCATTTGCACTGCTAATACGTTTCTGGACTTCATGAGTCTACAGCACCGGGAAATCACATAATGTAAACACACACTCTCTCCACGAAACCTAAAAGATGTTTATTTTTCTTAGGGACGAATGAGACCGAGATGGCAAAACTGAGCAACAATCTCAATAATCAAATGAACAACAACCAAGCCAAAACTCATGTGAACAACCTTCAAAGCGATGCGGAGGCTAAAGCGGATCGTAGAAATGGCTACGCATACTGCCCAGCCTAGCTAATAGCTCATCCTTAAAGTCGTCTAGACAGTGGGCCATTGTGATAACCACACACTAAGACAAGTGAGAAAGATGGGGGATCAGACGCCCATCTGCTCAAACGGCGTATCCCGCCGATCAAATTTTACACAAAAAAGGGTACAGGTGACTACATAGGGAGGCCACACACGACGCCCATTTCTTGGGTGCACTGGTAAGGCAGTTAATTCAGTATCCACCTCAGGGTCTCATAACATGAGCCCGCAGACGTAGGCTGATCGACGCAGCAACCCCCCACCACCTGGACAAGTGAAGATTGCGTCGGGTCCTGGTGAGGAAGGACGCCTGTTATCCACAAAATCGGACGCAAAACAAGGCTAATCCAGTGATCGCCTATTATTCCTCGGTTAATCTTCCTGGGAGGTTTATACTTGTCATGACTAATTTGACTAACCTAAATATGCGGAAGTAGATTCTAGTCACAGAAGGCATTTATACGAATTTGGTGGATGCATATGATAAACCTGGTTTCGCCGGCGCAACTTGTCTGGTCATACTCCTTCTACACCCAATGGTGCGATATGTCCGAAAGGTCTTAGCATGTACTCTCATCGGAATGCTTAAGCAGGAATGCGACAAAATTGAAACTGAATTCAAGCGAAAGCTAATTTTTTGCAAATGGTACGTAGGCAGATTATTAGAGCCAAACGGAGGAAACTTTGACAAAGACTAACAGTTAGTCGAAAGTAAGTGAAAAAGCTTTAATGTCAATATATTTCTTAATGTACTAAGATAAGGCATCTTAGGTCAATATTCTTAGCGAAGATCATATATTATAGATTGGGAAGTGGTGTGTAGCCTCCTCTATAGTCGTCTGTGACAGAATAGGGACGGATTCAAAATCTTTATAAGTAAACACAATGTCCAGATTATTGACCGTTTATTGGTTTAAAACATGAGCCAATGGCCAGAGACCGAGGATTATATAAACAGCCTTCAAAATCCTTCGGGTGGTGATCACTTCATATTTTTCCGTTTGAAAGAGGTAAGCATTTCCAGAGACCTTTCAAATTAAAAAAGATTGAAGTTGCCGGCCAGTTCTTCTTTGCAATATTCAGTGGAACACTATAATACAGTGACATGTTACCACCAACCGGAAGATGCTAATAGGTAGATTTAAGTGTGAATTTTAACAATATGAAGCTCTTACTGTCTGACATTAGGTCGACTTTGGACTAAAAATGCGTCCAGCCGAAAGGAACCGTGTGGAAAAAAGTTCTGTATAATTTTTAAATTAGGGTTATCTAGATTGGCTGAGCAAAGTACGAATAATTTAAGGTGGCCTTGCCCTCTATGTGTAAATGCTCTTATAATACGCCAGTTATGACCAACTTCTAACACATCGAATATCAACACAACCTTTAGAAATATTCATATGCAACATAAACTTGTTGTTTTAAATGGCTGTTAATATTGCGATTAAAGCGTTAAGTTAGCATTTATACGACACTGCATTCGAGTCAAAATTATTTTCCTTCCTTTTCTTAGCCTCGGTTGAATTTAAAATAATACGCCGCTGCAGAAGATGTCGACATTTTTTTGAAAAACATCGCATCCAAAACCGAACCTTGTCTACTATTAATATAAATGGACAACATTCGTTTCAAATTTCTTATTTGTCAACAAGATTGCTTTAGTTTTACTATAAATAAACATGGTACGGTTGCAGCAGGACCACCGATGAGAGCGGTACTCACCAACGGTGATACGGGGGACAATCGACACCACCTTGTTTGTAATGCATCTTACATTTTCATAATGTTTATTTCTGCGACAGGTACCACTGTGCGCATGGGTTTCTGCCACTTCGTCTGGTAGTTTATTTGTCTGAAATAACTGTCTGTTAGACGCAGTGTTTTAAAGAATCAAATTAAAATTTGCACGCCAAATCAATTTGGAAACACGACTCCTTATTAGTAGAGAGTTGGAAGAAACAAATTCTAGACTTGCACGGCATTATATCAATAGATAATTTGCCGTTTAAATATGAACTTATATCTAATAATTCAGTTGTGGAACTACTTTGTAAGCTTCTTTACTTAAATTGGGTTAATAGCCGTCTTAAATATCGAATATACAGCGGGTTACATTTGATGATTAAGCATATTTAACTTTAACCTGGACTATAAATTAGCTGTCAGACTTCAAATTGTAGCAAGTATTTGCTGTATGTACCTAAGTATCTTCTACAAGACCACAGAGTTTTCTATCACGTCATTGTATGTAATTATTTCGAAGTAATGTTTTGTAGAGAGGAAAATGAATAAAACTTACATGTCTCCTTATTTGCAAGGTTTCATATAAATGCTTTACTACTTATCTGACAGATTTTTTTCTTTAGGTGGAGGATGATATCTACACATCTGCTTGTCTCGATTTCTCTTGTATGCTGTGGTGTTTTCTTACAAAGTCCTCGAGTAGCTACTGTCAACGTTCGTCGTCAGTTAATGGATCTTCTTTTGTCCGAATACGATCCTTCTGAGACGCCTGAAGGCCTTCTTTTAGATGAAGGCCGGTCATCGCTCTCAGGTGAAACCTACCGCCGGCCCTTGAAAAAACGGGGTTTTGTGCGACTTGGATAAGTGGTTCCTGTCTTCAAGCATGTAAATTCAACAAGTAAAAAAGCATCACCGTGAAACAAGCTCCTAATAAATCTTATGGCATATCAAGATTCTCCCGCTTTTTGCATCTTTGGGTACATTACCTTGGTCGTTGAAAATGGAAATTATAAGTTAGAAGTGGATTTGCTTGTCTGTCCCAACCGGTTTATCTACAGTACGAACAACGACAAACATGACAATCGATCGCATTTCTTTACCTGGGTTGATATCGAGTCTTCTAGACTGTTGAGATATAAAACTTGCTTTCAAATTAACTACAATTACGACCGCGCCAAACCGTTCAGTTGTATTTCTATAACCTACAATCTGTGGCCCAAGTAAGAGCCCTTCTAATTCATGTCCAGTTATATCTCAATATGTTCGGTCGTACAACGCAGGGCATGTTTATTAAATTTCGTCCTGCTATAACAACATTTGATTACAATGGCTAATTTTCCTGCAGGAATCGTGGCATTAAACTCGAACATCTAATCTTAGAGTATTTGTTGAAATCCATCAGTCAATTTCTTTATTGACCATAGACATCAAAAATATAAAATCCGGAGCAGGACTTTGGATGGGCGACAGCTAAATTTTACTTTAATGCAAAGACAGTCAGGTTGTCACAACATAACCATGGCAGTTTCAAACTAAACAGAGTCCTTTGTTGGATTACCCAACAGCTTTATTAAATTGCATCAGGTTTTGAAAGATCCGAGTTTATAATGGTATTTTCAAACTCCACTTTTCGTCCCAAGTGCATGCAAATTTAAATTCATGAGATAGTAGAAGTTTCTAGGATGATTCTATCCTCTGTTTGATCACTTACCTAATCTAAAACGAAAACTGTATCGACTAGCTGCCTTGGTCAAAGTCGGACATTTTTCCCCAGCTTTGAGAGCTCCATGAGTGATTATCGCCATAAGGGATTAGCGATTAATATGACGGAATCTGCAAGCAAACATCCGCGCAATAATTATTTTGAAATTGTTTAGGATAAAACTCCTCAAATTCCGTCTGTAAGGTCCCTTCTTGTGGCTAGTTAAGCTAGATAAAATCAGAACACTCCAAAATGCGAAAATATGAAAAGCGGCTGTCGGTTTTTCCAAGCTATTGCTTTCTCACGGCAGATATTTGGGAAGCAAGTTATGTCACCCTTGTAAAAGTGTCACTTTAACTGTTGGCGAATTGCATCAAAATGCCAATATCCAGACTCCGTCCCAGGAGTTTTTGGAGAAAGGTTCCAATAAATTTCAGACGACAAGTAAGGCAGCGCGTTTACAACAAAGTGATTCTATTAGATGGCTTTTATATGTTCGAAGATTGTCTTCCCTATTGGCAAGTGGTTTTTGTAGATGCAAGAGCAATTGGGCAAACCTGGTGCAATCGAGTTGCTTAATCAATTCCTTATATGTCCGCTACTTCACAATAAGAGGCGAGTGCTGACTTAGTTGACCTAAACTTACACGCGAATTCTAACCAAAACATTGATGATAGTCAGCGGGTCTGAATCATTAACAAGAGTTCGGTAGTGCGCATTGGTTGAGAAAGAAGTAGGCACCAAAGTTCCCTTCGTTAAAATTAACGAAATTTGCCGTATGGGATTTTGTCGCTGTCTCATATAACCGCTGGGAGAATCATCTTTGCACAGCAGCGGGCTTATTTACAATGTATGCGTATAAGCAAGCGATGCTGCCTTCATCTTCAATAGCCTTCGGGGAAAACAGCGAAAATCCTATTCTCTCGAGAATTGGGTCAGGGCCTGTTCATCAAAAAATTCATGAATCGAAAAGACGAGCCTACCCAACGGCTCCAAATTCAACATCACACAGACCAGACTGAAAACAGAGATTGTCATCTCAAAAGTCTAAACAATTGTCGGAATTTTCCTTATAAGGATTTCTGATTCTACGATTCTCGACATTTCTTGAGTTCTTGTATATACACTAAAAAATAACATCTGAGTTTACAACATCGGCAAACTAAGCTCTCAAATACCTCTGGAGGGAGTAAAATATATGAATCTTTTTAATAGACAGGGGTGACGCAATGTTTGTAAGGACAGAAAAGTTTACCAATCGAAGGCATCTAGGCAATTATTTTCTGACCTTCACATCACATAAGATGAGCCGCCTAATCAACTGCAAAAAGTAAAACGGTAGGTGAAAAAGCAAAGATGGACTGCCAACCATACTACACTCATCAAAAAGCTATACGCCAAAACTGATTTAAAATCCCCCTAAGCTTAAGCCCTTTGCAAGTAACCGCCAAAGAGACAACTCCCCAAAACAAGAATAGAATTCATAAATCCATTAACACATAGTTTGGCCCTATCTTTGGAGGGCCAATACAAGACGTCCTAGGGGACGCAGACAATCACATACACAATGCAACTTTCTAACAAGTACACATCATGAGAACTGAAAAGTTGCCCATTTTCGATTTCACATGGTTCTCCGCAAGTAAAGCAATCAGCACGATACCGAAGTCGTTTTTGGTCACAGAATGAGCCAGAAGGTAAACAGTGAAGGAGTGAGCAGCTTTATAATGACCCCAAGGAAAACTATGGTGTCTGCGCTCCGTGGCTGGGTCCAGAATTTGGTTCTTCGGAGGCAATGGGTTTACAAAAATCATTTCCGGTGAGTGACCCATTATCTCACCTGATCGCCCATCTGTTTGCAAGGAAAGGCGAACCACTTGCTTTAATACGACCTCACACGCAGTAAGTACGGTATCCCTGCGCAAAGTAAATGCACGTTGTTTCCTGAAGGTGTTAAACCGAGGCAATTCCGAATTATTTTAACCTCCAACGGCAAGTTCACAAAGGCATCTGAAAAAAAAAACATTTATAGACTTAAAAATAAATAGATGTCCTATGAAATAATTTCTTAATTGAGATAACTGTTTGACAGACAAGTGAATGACGGAAAATTCTTACTATGAGAAGGAGCTTATGAGTCATTGCGGATATTTTCCAAGTTGACACTCAAGAAGGCTATGTAGCCTGTAAAATAAATATTTCAAAAATGCGACCTAAGGGAAGCCTTATTCTGAGCAGGCTTGCGGCAATCTCATTTACATACCCTAATCTGTTGACTAAGCAATAAGGTAAGGGTTCCTGAACGCAACAGGCAATCAGTCAAAACACAAAGGACTTGATAGAAACAAGAACAGCCTAGGGTCATTTCATCAGTATCTCTGTCCGCACATAGAATGAGACAATCACGAGAATTCTGCATCTAAAGTCTGAATCAGGACCCACAAATCCCTAGGAGGCAATATGATAAAATTAGTCCCACTTATACTGGTGTTGTAAGCAAAAAATTGTTGACTCAGATTTCCATTGAGACCTCGTTTACATCAAATATCGATTTGTATTAACAGGCTTCGTAAACTAAAATAAGAAACCGTACACTAAATTCAATGCGCAGTCTCTCCACATTTGCAAACTTCCTGCATTATATTTGTAACTTAGCCAACTGTCACTCAGACCTGAGTAGATGAAACTGTCTCACAAAACATTGTTGAATAACGGATGTAAATCTCTAACAACAAACCATGTTGCCTTTTCATGAAGTTGCGTGAAGCTAAATTCTTAAGGTTTCATCTCTAATTTTTCTAATGGATTATGTCTGGCAATATTTCTCAAAGTGCTTGGTGTGTTTTGGATGATTTGAGGATTCCATTTGGTATAGTTACTGACTAGTCTGAAGAACTATTTAAGAAGAATAAATAAGTTTACAGAAGACTATATTAAACAGGCTGAACTTGTTCAGCCAGTGTTTCATTTCTTGCAGAAAGAACAATTGTTCTAACTGCTGTGTGATGCACTGAGAACTAGCTTTCTATTAGAATTTGGGTTTTTTCCATACTAACATTTCACTATCTTTAAAGGCCCATACACATCCCCAGTCTATTAAAGGCTGTCAACGATCTTTTACAACACAGTAGTGATTTCTTTCATGATCGGTTTACGCAGGAACGAAAAACATAAATTGCGCACGCTCCAGTTTTCCAAGCGTTCTAATATAACTGAGACATGCCAAACTTAGTTGTCGGCGCGCGGCTTAGTCACTATCCAAAAATTAACCTTGTATCCCATTTAACAACAAAGGCTTTGTTCGCTCGAGTTCCACAAAGGCGCTGTCAGCAATGAATAACTAACCAGGGCGAACTAGTCAGCCACTTTTTGATAACTTCGCAGAAGGGGTGGTTACGAGTTTTGAATCCGGCAAGTTGCAGCAACTTTCCGCCCAACCTGACAAATGTCGGAAAAGTTAGTGTTTCATGCGTTAATACTAACAAGATTAGCGTTAATTCTCGCGATAACTGTTCAAAATGCTCATATATAAGGAAGCTTTGGGTTTATTTCCTGAGTAAGTAGAAGAAAGCTGTTTCTTCCAGGAAAGCCTGTTGCACGGCGTTTTGATTTCCCTGTTTCGTAGATTTTCTACACTGATATGAATAAGGTATAACTGGTGCAAAACAGTAAAGTGATAGCACTGACATACTTCGATCTTTTTTCAAGAATTTTCAAGTTGCAAGCTGCGGGCCACCACTATCGTAGCACCTTGTGCTTCTGGCATACTCTTGTTATAAGACATAGTTGTCCTCCCGAGGAAACGAAATTGCTTCAAAACCTTGAGGATAAGGTCCTCTCTGTTTAACATACCCACATCTCCTGTAAGCCTTATTGTAAGCAGTGTGGGCCATAAGTGTATTCCACAAAATGTGTTTGCTTGTTGTTCAGGTGACCAGTAAAGGCCTTCTAGGACAATTAGCGTGCTTGCCATTAAATATGAAGGTCATGCTGAACGAAGAAAGTGCGCGTCTTGGTGATGTTTTCTGGTACCTGCAAATTAAATTACTTGAAATTCGAACA